TTTAAATAAAAAGTGTTCGTCGATTCTCCCGCCCGAGGAAAATGTCACGTCTCTGTTTAAAAAAGCCTAAAATCCTCGTTACATCCGAGTGAGTGTCCGCGGAGCTGTGTCTCTCTCCCACCCGTTCGCCTCCATTCGCTGCGGCGGTGACTGCTGCTGGTGCCCGGGCAGCTGCGGCTGGAGGAGAAACTGAGCTCCGTGAGGCGCTCACTTCCGGAGCCACCCTTCAAAATAAAAGCTGGCACTTCCTCAAACCTCACATACATGTTGTGTGATTCTAGAGTCTGTTAGGGCTTAATTATATATATATATTATCAAATATACTTCTTTCAATCAATCAATCATCTAGTTTTATTTACTTATCCCATATTCACAAATCACAATTTGTCTGGAAGGACTTAACAAGGTGAAACATACTCAGTCCTTAGTTGACCCAAAAATGAGAACTCAGTAATTATCTACTCACCACTGTAGCGATGGAGGGGTGGGTGATGTGTCTGAGTCCACAAAAGACTTTTAGAGTCCCAGGGGTAAACAGGATTGCAGCCAAATTCAATACAATGGAAGTAACCGGTGGCCCCTTCTTCAAACGTAAAACAAAAACCAACAACAGAAAACACACAAAGGCCTCTATGCTGCTCCTGAGGTGTCATCCAAGTGCCCGTAAGCCCAGACATTCACATTTGACTTGAAACGATGTCATTTACACCAAGTTTTTAGTCTAAATGTGTGCTGTGATCCATGCGCGAACACAGCTCCAGAGGAGTATAACTGATGATTGTGAGGACACAAGATGGCAGCTGCTAAATTGCGACTTCATTTGCTAGATAGTGGGAGGAAGTGGAGACGAGTTGTCCAACTATATTTGCCGTTTATAGTCAAAACTTTCCTCTAGGCCTTGTTTTTGGTTCAGTTGAAAATAAAAAAAACTGCAGAAACTTTGTACAGTGTAAATCTGTCTGAAAAAACCCATTATATATAGTAAAACAACAGCACTGCTATTATGAAATCTATTGATTTTGGTTTTCCTGCAGGGCTGCTTTGGTATATTAGGCAACACAATATTTTAGACCTTTTTATTTACAATCCAGGATTTATAGTTACAGCCAAGTTACAGCTTTTGCAATTTTGAAAAAAAACAGTCTTATCCAATCACACATGAAGCTGAGCTTTAATCTGATGTGTGTTTGCTATTAAACACCAAAGATTACAACTTATTTTTAAATTCTGATGCTTTTATTTTGAGGGTAGACGCCCTAACCGGAAGCTTTTTAACAGCAGCAACCGTTTGTAACCTGCAGACCCACAGCTTGACAACAACAGCTCATAATTTTTACATTATAGGTTGAATATGTGACTTTTATTATTATAATATACAATAAACATACTATTGATTTACATTGTGTGTAACAGTAACAGGAGTATATACAAAAAAACTAAACAGATACTAAAACACATATATACAGTATATTCACAGTTGTAATACTTCACTGTTCATAGTGTGTAAATTACCTTTTAGGGATACATAATAAGTGTACCCTACACTTACATGTATTGTTCCCATGGTAACTAACCCTCCAACCGTGACGGGGTCAGTCCCGTCACCTGCTCATTCGGTGCCACACGACCATTGTTTGTGGTTTAAATAATTTAACCTGTTGGACAAAGACAAGTGTGAGTCTTCAAAGTCAGAAGACACCAGGGGAATGTTGCTGGTGTTCAAGCATTTCCATGGATCACACATTATCTCACCATCATCGTCACATTTTCATTTCAAATTTGGGAACACATGCAAATGTAAGATGCTGACCTTCCTTTTCTAATCCTGCTGCCGGCTGGAGGTTTCCCTGTGTCACCCGGGCCCTCTCATGGTTTGAGATAACAAGACACACAGGGTGAATCCCTGAGACACAAAAAAAGGTTATGTCTTCTTATCTAGCACAGAAAATACCACAGACAGTGAACACATTCATTCGAAAAGGACAGTGCTGCCCATTGTAAAAGATTTGTGAGGGTTTGTATATCTCTGCTTACATTTTTCAGTGTTTTAATCATAAATTTACTGAAGCTAATCTAAAGATCTGTTGTATTTTATTCTATCTACTCAAGGCCTAACTATGTGAGCTTTTATGTGACCAGATGCTGCTCGAAGGTACAGTTGTTTTAAGAGGAGGTGAAAAATATAAATCAAGGAAAACATACAAATATGAATATTCTCATTATTAATAACTGTTTCCAGTGTTTGAGCAGCTGGTGGAGAAGCAGGAAGTCTTCTGGCCCTGTGTAAACAAAATGAAATCCATTCCACATGTTGACAGTGAAGGTGAAAGACAAACAGTGGAGTTGTAAATCGTCCCAGTGAGATTGAGACTGGTTGACAGGTCTGTTTGTTATAATAAACAGAGACAAGTGTTCAGCACAAAGACTGGAGCAAAAGCTGGTGCTGTCCTCCAGTGGTTACAGCTTGTAACTCCACCGTGCTGCAGGGACGTAGTTGCTGAGCAGAGTTCAGGCTGATGAACGTTAAACTGAATTACACTGCATGGATATAGACAGCTGGTCATTTTTTATTTCACATCAGGAGAATTATTATTGTTATTATTATATTTATCACAGGAAGTATAGATATAGATCGATAACTTTATTAAGCACAATTAAAATCAAGTAAACCAAAACAGAGATTAAGTAAATAAGGTGCAAAGGAAGTTGTGATGTTGGTATGTAAGGAATGGTGGTGAAAGCATGAAATGATGATAATGCGAATAATAATGTAAATAACAATAATGAAGTTAATTTAGATTTAAGAGAAGGGACAAGAGGAAAATAGAATAAAAACCACCTGGTCTGTGACACAATGTTATATTGCTGCTGATCGAAAAACATTTATACCACAAACAGGAATGAAGATAAGCATAAGAGATAAAGAGCTATTCATTTTGTTATCTCCGTGAACCACAACACAGATAAGCCTTTCTGACATGCAAGCACACACACACGCACGCACAGTGTTCGGTCAGCGCTAAATCTGCGAATGTCTCTGACACCCTGCAGTAGTTACAGACTTTCTACGTTTGCAGTTATTTCTAAACTGCCTGGTTCATGTATACTTTTGCAATTTAGCAGCTGGCGACTATTGAAAAAAATATCGACTGGTCGATTAATCGCAGGAGACTGCATTGTGACTATAACGTGTGCCTGCAAAGTGTACGGGCTAAGTGGCGAATCGCTATTGGCCCCGAGACACCTGCTGACGATGCAGAAGGGTTCCCGACGACACAACTGCTCCAACTATCCCACCATACAACAACCAATCCCAAGTAGCTCCTGCTTATAGCAAAGCACCTGCAACGTGTTCTTCGCCTGTCGATTACAACAGCGCCCCCGGCTGCATATTTACTAAAGATGCCACTGATGCTGCTAAACCCACAGATAAACAACTAGTCCACAACAATGCACAGATTAGTGGTTTTCTACTTTATCCACTTTGCATCACCTTTGAAATTATGGCAAGGACAACACATGAATAGAGATAGTGAGGATAGATAAGGGAGAGGAGAGAAAAAGATAACACGTTAACAAAGGTTGGGATCATTCATGTCGAGATGTCTGATAAATCCTCTTGAATGAGGATTCAGGATTGTATGGTAAATCCAGTGCCAACCCCTCGTTCAACCTTTCTCCTCGGACTGTTATCAGCCAGGTCAGATATGAGATACCTGCTTGGTGGGGTGGCACTCTGTCTTTCTCTCAGGTGACCTTTAAACCTCCCTTTTCATTATATAACTTCATTTATAAGACAGGTGCAGAAGCGTCTGTACCTTTACCTGGCCTCTGCGGCTCTGTCAGCTCCTCTGATGCTGCAGCCTTCCTTTGCTGCCTCTGCTCCCGGGACACAAACACTACAAGCTGCACACACACACTGCTGACACAGAGACAGACGGAGAACCGGCTGCCAGGCAGAGAAACCATTCGCACAGTCGCACGGAGGGAAAAACGCACAGCACCATGGGCTGCTGTAACAAGGAGTGCGGACTCATAGCCGGAGCCGTGATTGGGGCTGTGGTAGCCATCCTGGGAGGTGTCCTCATCCCACTGGGGAACAGCATCATTGAGGGAACAGTGGAGAAGGTATGGTGCTCGGTTTCAGCCCCTGTAGCGAGTGACAGAGAGTTGTGAATGTGCAGGCAGAGATCAAGGTGAGTCAGGAGAAACGGGAGGAGAGGCGTGTGTGTTTTTGAGCTTCAACTGGTAAACAAGCTGTGCAGAGAGTCAAAATCAGCGTCTGTGATTTGGTTAAAGAAACTATAGAGAAAAATATTTTAACGATTTAGAGATTAATAACAGAGCGTCCACCTTGTGCATGGATCTGCCGGGCAGCAGGCCTGCTGGCAGTCTTGAGGAATGTTAAAAATAGATGTCTGTGTCTCTGCTCGGTTTAGGAGTCCGTCATTGAGCCTGGAACGACAGCTTATGACAACTGGGTGACGACAGGGGCGCATGTGTACAGGCAGTTCTGGCTCTTTGACGTGAAAAACCCCCAGGAGGTCTTGCAGTACGGTGCAAGACCAGTGGTCCTGGAAAAAGGACCGTACACCTACAGGTAATGTTGAATCGTTTGCCTCTTGTATTTTCTGTTTTGCCACCATCACACCCATCTAACAAATTTAAATCAAACCTCCCCCCTCCAGGACGAGGTATCTGCCCAAAGAAAACATCACGTTCAACCCCAATCAAACCGTCTCCTTCCTGCTGCCTTCCTGTGCCGTCTTTGAGCCGTCCATGTCGGTGGGACCAGAGGAGGACAACATCACCTCCCTCAACCTGGGTGTGGCTGTAAGTGAGTGTCACCTCACTGTGTGGTGAAACCTGCAGTGACTCAGCATTTCTGTAAGGCTGATAGGTTGTTGCTTTCGTATGCAACTATCAATTCTAGTGATGGTTGCCAAAACAGTTTGGCCTTTGACCCTTGTTTGTGAGCAGTGAGATTATTAACCACACAGTGATTCTCTCTCACAGGGTTGTTTCTGAATCTTTCATATTGAAAACAATCCAGTCACAGACTATAGAGATGGACAAAGTGATAGCTTCCTATAAGTGAAGCCAAACTGCCTTGATCGCCACCTGGTGGCTGGCTGCAAAATAACCCCGAACTAAAAAGTCAGACTCGACATGAATCTGTCTTCCTGTATGTGTTTTAGGTTTTGGTGATTTGTTGTTGTGTTGTGTGTTTCATTTTTGTGTTTTGTGGTTGTATTCTGTGGTTTGCTATCATGTTTTGTCATTTGCACTTCAGGGCCACCATTAATTAGAATTCTGAGAAAATTGATATAAATCAGGAGGTTTGTGATCACAAAGAATAAGTGATGAGTACAGAACAAGTATTCAGTGGTAGTCTGAAAATGCATTAACAACTGTACTCATAAATACAGTCACAATACTGTCTTTGTTTAATGTCACAGTGAATGTGCTTTCTCTCCGAACTCATGATGAGTGTAAGCAATTCAAGACAACAAGAGCCTCTGCTTGTATTTATGTTGTATCCTGTGTCATAAAACAGGATTTTTATTTCCCGTCTTATCTCCTGAAGCAACAGCAGCGTTAATGCACGTGAATCGTTGTGGAACCAAAGTGTTGCTTTACTAACTGACACCACCACAACAAAGACTCAATTATACATTTGCTGAACTTTTAGAGATCAAGATGAAGAGAAGATAAACATTTCTTTTTTTCTTTTTTTTTCAGGGAGCTTATTCACTGCTTCCTGAAAATAGTCACGTAATACTGGAGACTCTGATAAAGTTAAGCAAATCCTCACTGTTCCAGCACCGTACAGTCAAGGAGCTGCTGTGGGGTTACACAGACCCAATGCTGAAAAAAACAGTGGGCGTATTTTATCCTGTAAGTGATCAGAGGTTTCAGCTTTGCTCTCATGTAAGATCTACACAGTGACGCCTCAAAAATGACATGATTTAATCATTTCCTGAAGTACAACGGCACCTTTGATGGCTACTACACAGTTAACAACGGAAAGGAGGACATCTCGAAAGTGGGGATTATTGACAGGTGGAAGGGAGAGAGGTGGGTCTGATTATGAATAAAATGGTGGCGATTCTGAGGCTGTGTTTAATCAAGTTTTACAGATTTTGAGAAGTGAGGAAGCTGTTTTTCCGTTAATGTAAAATACTATTTGTCATTGTTATTTGAACAGGACTTTGCCTTTCTGGAACGATACCTACTGCAACATGATCAATGGGACAGGTACAACTCACGCATGTTAATTATGAAGCTGAACAAACCAACAACATATTTCTATAAATCTTCATCATGACCTTATTTCTCCTCGTTTTCTCAGATGCATCCTCCTTCCCTCCATTTGTGGACAAAAAGAAGCCCCTCTATTTCTTCTCATCAGACATCTGCAGGTGATTAAAGGGATTAATCATCTTATTCTGAGGCCTGCAACCTTTTAACTTATTTCCTCTCAGTGACCACTAGAGGTCAGAGCTTTCCAGTACCAGAACCACTCCAGCCGATCTGAACTGAGTTGCTCAGCAGAGTGAACTGGGTACATGAGGTCAGATGCTTGGAGATTCATGACGTGTGTTTGTTTTGTCCGCAGGTCCGTGTCAGCCAGCTATGAGAAGAGCATGGATCTGAAAGGGATTGAGGTGTACCGTTACACCCTCCAGCCGTCCACCCTGGCCTCCCCTACGGTCAACCCAGACAACAGGTGCTTCTGCAGGGACCCAAAGACCACCAAGAACTGCACCTTGGCGGGAGTCCTGGATATCAGCGCCTGTAAAGAAGGTTAGTTTGCATTTGGGGATCTTAACGGTAGACTTCAGGCATAACCAAGAATGTCCCATGTGCTCATCAAAATTGTCACGGTTTCCTCTCCATCCAAACAGATATAACTATCTTAATCTCTCTGCCGCACTTCCTTCATGGCAGTCCATCCCTGCGAGAGGCCGTACTTGGGCTGAATCCCAGCGAGGAGCACCATAAAACCTTCATAGACGTGGAACCTGTAAGACACTGTCATCCTGATGATTTGTGACTGAGAGAGGCGGCAGCTCTGATGCAATATTTTTGTTTTTCTTCCACTAGACAACCGGGTTTTCCCTGAGGTTCGCTAAAAGAATTCAAGTGAATATGATGTACGGACCATCGAAGGTCATCACGTAAGTTCTGTTTCACTGTTCCTGGCTAACTTAGCTTAGCATCAAGACTGAGAGTAGGTGGAAAAAACTGGGTTTCAAAATGTATCTATTGTGGTCTTACGTGGTTTTTAAAAAAATATTTTTTTGTGTTATATTGAACTCCCAGCAAGTGTTTTTCCCGAAAAGCCGGACTAATCCTTAAAGAAAGTTTGAGACAGAATCATGCTCTGAAAGTAATGAACTCTTTCCCTGCAGGGTGCTTAAGAAAGTCAAGGATTATACTGTTTTCCCAATCGTTTGGATGAACGAGGTAAGATAAAAACTGAGCCTTGCTGTCATGTAGTGCCTGTCGTTGCTCAGGATGCGTGTTCATCAGTCTCCTCTGTGTAACCAGACGGCTGCGCTGGATGACGAAACGGCAGACATGTTTAAGAAGGAGCTCATCTCCCGTATCCAGATGTTGGAGATAATACAGCAGGTGCTGCTGGGCACGGGTTTGGCCGTCTTCGCCCTGTGTCTCATCTCCTACTGTGTGGTGAGGAGAAGTCGACTCAAGCGTACGTTCTAATGAATCAGGCTGGAGTTGTGTGCAAGTTGTGGAGCACAGTGAATTTACGCTGCTATGGCACATCAAACCTTTTTGATATAGACTTGCACTTTTTTGTAATTTTACTGTAATGTTTTTTTGCTTTGATACCAGGAGGGGGAATACTGTGATTTTGTAAAGCTTACGAGCTGAATTCTTTTACCAAGTATAATTTCAAGTGCAAACACTGTAACATTAACTCAATCAGGGATTTCTGGAGGCAGAGCAGGTGGAGACTCATTTTAAACATCAGACTTATCATCCGCACAGAGGAGAAATGTGTTCTGAAGTCTATAATAAAGAAATGCACATTAATCTGATCAAATGTTCTAATGCTTCGATGAACTACAGTCTTAAAAATGAATAAAAGCTAAGTGAGTTTTTCATTGGCTATCCTGTTCCTAGTGTTGGATTGTTCTTACCCTGCACCAAGCTCTCAAACCCTCGAAGCCCAGAATCCAGTCGAGACTGAAACAATCCTCTGCATTGTGTGCGCTCAAGCAAGTTTCCTCTTTACCTTGAGTGGTCAATAAATCAAAAGGAGCAGTAAAAATGGGCTGGGGCACGATTATACTGTGGTTATGAATGGTACTGGGGTTTGTTTGGTGAGAAAGCAGTCTTTCTGCCCAGCAGGAGACCTCTTTTCACTTTTATTGCTTTTAAATTACCCTCAGCAGCCTCCTGGGTGTCTTTGATTCTACTGTTTGGTCTCAATCTTACATTTCACACATATTAGGGAGTATTTCATTGAAATTAAAACAGACAAGTCTTACTCCCCTTTCTGAGGACATGCCGTTTCCAGCCTTGGCGTATCCCAGGTACTATGCACCGACGTTTGAAATGTGAACATCATATTATCAAACCCATACATTTTCCAAGATATCAAAAATCCTTATTGTAATAAGGAGAGTTTGACAGTTTACAAAATAAACGCAGTTGCTTTCTCTGTTAAATGAGCTTGATGGCCTTCATCATGTCTGTAGGATAAAATTAAAGCTACTGCCAGCAGCATGTTAGCTTAGCTTAGCCAAAAAACTGTAAATGGGGGAAACAGCTGGCTAGTTTTGAGAAATCTGCAGTCTTTTGCTATGCTATGCTGAATAGCTGCAAGCAGTCGCTTCGTATTTGCGGAAAAAAACATGCGTGTCAATATTTTATTCAAACTCAAGGTAAGAAACCAAATAAGTGCATTTCACAAAATTTGGAACTATTTATTTACGATATATAAGACACGCAATATGATAAGTAGACAAATGGGTGATGAAACGCAAAAATATAAAATTCACATTTTGAGCACAAGAATCTGAAAATTAAATTTGTGGACTTTGCTTTAAATTGAGATTCATTTGAACATGTTTATTCAGGCTATCATGACATCAATAAATAGAAATACATAACACTGACATTACACTGAGCTGAAGTTTACATGTCGGTGGTGACGCAGGTGATCTGTACGAGGGACGGCACAACTAGAGTGAAAGTCTTTTCTCAGAATGAAAATAAAATTGTATTTCTCCACAATTTGCAGATACAGTCAGAGTTAGTTGGTGAAACATGTTGAATTTATATACACAGTGAAAACTAAATTTTCACAGCACATTAAATTAACAGGATGAATAAAACAAACAAAAAAACTCTGTACACAAGCAACCAATAATCTACTGTACATTAGCTATGCCCCTAAAAGGTGTATTCACATATTTCAAATGGTTGATGTCACTGACAATTACTACTTCTGAATTAAACGTACGTCCACTCTGCTGCAGTCTGTAGAAAACGTGGATCCAAAGAAGGAAAATGTCATTGCAGACTATATTTCCGAGTATTACACTACGTTACATTATTTACCTGAAGGCAAAAACTAAAATGTGCAAACCTCTTGGTTGCTTAAATCCAATCCAGGCAAGGATTAAAGCAATAATTTGACATTTTGGGGAAATATACTTTTTTGTCACGACTCCAGAGAAAAGATTGACACCCCCCTCATGTCTGTATGGCATAAAGCTACAGCTGGCAGCAAGTTAGCTTAACTTAGCGTAAATTGGATTTCGTCACTTAGTGTGGTATCAATCTTCTACTCTGTGCGAAAAAACTAAGCAAATTCCCCCCAAATGTCCAAGTATCCCTTTGAAAGACTTCAACATTATCGTTGAATTTCTATAAACATGCTGGAAAAAGAGAAGTACGATACAAATACAATATGCAGCCGAATTACATTGAGGCACATTCTCGTAAATGTACGTCCGAGTATTTATACACACAGGACGGATTGTGTGAGAAGTGTACAACAACTCACACCGTATTTCACACTCTATTCAGAATCCTGCCACCATTTCTGTTTTGGTCTTTGTACCATAGCATGTTTATAAAGATGGACAACATGGCAGCTCCCGATAAAGTGAAGCCCAATCATCTCGATAGCCCCCTGGTGGCCTCTGGCATGTCTGCAGATGGGACTGGATTAAAAATGCACGATAAACACATTTTTTCTCAAAGATGGTTTCTGTCATTTCAAGTCTTATAACACTGATGAATGTGTTTTAAATTACGTCAGCAGTAAGATGGTGGCACCCGTGTCAGGGATAGTTTGACTTAATTTCCGAGAGGAATTATTGACACGTCCTCCATCTTTATTCACAGTCTATGACTTAGACTGATATATTCCTAACTTACAGCACTGTCTGTATTCAGACCTCCTGCCATCTGTGCTTTGTATGCAGAGTGTTATTGAAGACGCACAAACACAGTCTATTCTTCTCATCCTACATGAGCCCAGAAGATTTCACTGAATAGAGAATTTTGTTAGCTCGAAACATTCAAATGTGAGTAGAATCTAGTACAACACTACTGTAAAGAGAAGGACAGCTCACTGTCAAACATGCATCTGTCCCTTTTCAAAATCCTCCTAATAATCCTAATAATCGTCCGATTCTGATTTCCCCTCCTAAATTTACGACATGACCAGGACCACTGACCATTGTTGTGTCTCACGTTGTATTATCACAAGAAATATCAGCCTTACTATCAGAGTTTATTGGTGGCGTGTGCCTGTGCGTGTGTGTTGGTGTATGTCCCAGCCACCTGGTAACAGTACCTGAAGCAACAGCAGGAGATACCGTCCAATGAGAGCTCCCCACACCCACCTCCTCGTCCCGCTGTACATCCGCAGTGCAGCTCTGCAGTTTGAGATGAGCGTTGGAAAATGGGGATTTTGTAACTGCCTGGTATGATACAGGATTGGAGGAAGGTTCATCTGTCAGTCTGTGTAGCTGCCAGCTCCTGGTGTCAGACGTCTGGGAAGTGGTTCCGCCGGTTGCGGCTCTTCCTGCGGTCCAGCAGGGGCTTCAGTTTGGCCAGGTCCCCCCTGAGAGGTCCGGGCGGCTGCGACGGCTGCTGCTGCTGCCTCTGCTGCAGGCTCTGGAGCTCCCTCCTCTCTTTGCAGTATTGTTGCACAGCCAGGCTCTCTGCAGGACTGAAGGCTGCCAGCAGCACCTTGGGGTGCAGGGAGCTGGCCCACGCCCACGGGGACTGCTGCTTGTCCGTCAGTACGCTCACCATGGCCTCGCTCAGCACGCGCAGGCGGATCTTGGCGACGGTGCGTTTGAAGCCGTTTTCGGTGGTCAGGCAGTAGTAGAGACCTTGGTCAGAGAGCTGGATGGAGCGGATCAAGAGGCCGTGATCCGTGGAGAGGACGCGGTCACTCAGCTTCACCTGCAGCGGGCCGAGGTGACAAATCAAAAGTTAAAACCAGAATGATTCATGATGAAACACAATGAAGTGAAGTTTGAGTCAGTTTCGTGTCTGTTTACATAATCAAGTTACTTTCATAATCTCATGAGGTTATTATTATGAATTCTTCTTTCATTTGGATATCAGTTATATTTATTTGTGGTGTGTCAGATTTATTTGTAGCCATGAAAGCACTCAGCGTCATCATTCGATCAGTGAAGAGACAGATTTTCATGGTTTACATTAATCTTGTTTTTAAAAATAGATTTAAAATGAAGCTATGATCCAAAACACAACACTGTTACATCCTCTCTCCCTCTGACTGAAACCCAGCCGGGGTTTAGTTTGGAGAAGACTAATGATTCCACACATCGTAAAACCAAAGTGATTTATTTTAAAGGCCAACTTCTATTCTCATGAGGAAATGGCTGTAAAACGGCCATTACTCCGAGCTCGCTCCACGGAGGCGGGAGCTAAATCTATTAAAGATGTGTCTTCATCACACAGGCCCTCTCTCGCCCGACTAAATTGAATCTTTCACAGCCTCTCACTGTTTAAGTGGTGTCGGATATTTGGAAAAATATTTCTCCACCGAAAGATCCAGTCATTAGACAAAGTCCATATCGTGTTTGATCAGTATCACTGCTCGTTAGGACGCCACCGTTTCCGTCCTCAGGCGGAGCAGATCACGATTGAGCTCCATCGATCGCCACATATTTGTTCGATGTCATATTCAAGACATTTTAAACCGTTATCATCTCCCAGGATTTGCACTGTGTAAATTCAATTTGTTACGAAGGAGCGGGGGCGGGCTGTGCTGTTGACCTTTGACCTCTGTCAAATGTTTTTTTGACATTAACTCTGTGTTTGGAAAATTGGCTACAGATATTCTGCAGGGGTTTGTCTTAAATGTCAGACCGACCTCTTTCCTCCGGTCGTTGTCCCTGTGAATGAGCCACCGAATCGAGGCCTGAGGAGACTTGGGAAGACACTCGAGGAAGGTGGTGTTGTTCTTCACGCCATATTGTGTCATCTCCACTGCGTTTCTGTAGGCTGTAAGACAGACAGACACACACACACACACACACACACACACACACACGTCACTTGCTGACGTACAGAAAGCCCTACAGATGGACTCAAATCTGTCTCACGTCCCACCAGGGGGAGTCGAATGTTGACTCGGAGCTTAGTCGGACACCTGGAGCTCAACCAAACTCCTCGTGCGCTCCCTCAGTTCCTCCACTGACAGAAAAACCTTCAGAGCGATGGACTAACTCACTTTCGTCTCATTAACCGTGTCATCTTTGTTGCGGCTAAATGGTTCATCACTCAGCTGCAGCTATGACAGGGCTGTGACTAATTAGTGGTAGGGGCCATATGGTTTGGTTCCCCAGGCTCGTGTTCATTTAGAGATGTGAAGTGTTTGTGGAAGTGAAGCTCACGGGGGAGAAAAATTAGACTGCACCACGCCAGTCGACTGGGTGGGTGCACTAGCAGGACTAAACCACTGTGAATGCTTTAATTCACAACATGTATTTCTAGTTATCGCCATGCTGCTGTGACTCTGATAAAAACAATGAGTTAAAACAGGCTAAGTGAGTAGAAGTGAGGGAAATTATAATGTTTGTTGAAAGTTCTCTGTGTGTTAGCAACAACACTTTTCACATCGCTCCCTTTGTTAATATAAAACATTGGATTAGCGCAGCTTTAGTTACCTTTCAGATTGAATCCTCTGCATTGAGTGAGTGGATTTCCATGAATAATGTCTTGTCTTCTGCTCCTCCTGAAAAACACTTACAATGAGTACAAATACACTGTGGCTCAATACGGCAAAATACATAACTTCCTCCTCCCATTGAACTGTGGAGGGAGCCGTCGCTGCCAAAACAATATGAGGAAAATCTGACAGTGTTATTCCACTCCGCTCACGCTCATGAGTAACAGCTTGAGGAAGAGAGCATGTAAGCAGCTGGCACATTTTCCACAGGAGAACAGCGGCTGCGCTTTTTCTTCTGCGACCAAACTAAACTCGACCTGCGTCTGACTGGGACGTCGAGAGACACAGCTGGTCCTCAAAGAGACCTGAGCGGCGTCGGCCCAGAGCCGAGGTGTCGCTCACACACATCCTCGTCTGTGTTTTGTCTAGACAGAGCGAGGGCGACAACAAACGCAGAATCGGTGACACGGATCACGCTCAACTGCTCCGTGAGGGATTCCAGTCACGTTCGGCCTCAAGACGTGAGCTGCTCTTTTCTTCTGGAACATCAGCCGTCGCCCACATTCACCACGACTGTGTGATGCACTGATTGGTTTCATATTTTGGTACGAAACCACAGGTTGTATACAAATGCAGCTCCAGAAGGACCTCAATTGTCCCCCGCTGGCTGGCTGCAGTAAAGTTCATACATCCTACCCCCTCCATGTTAGCAGATGGGACATGGGCCAAACTAAAAATATGTCATTTTAGATTCGGTTCTCATCATGCTGGTTGTTCAATCAGTAATTTGATGCTTTAAAAACAAGGAAAAACATCATGATCGACACCTGAGGCCGGCTCGCAATTGGGCGTTTATCGGCACAACCTCGACGCTCTTTCCAAATGACGTCATCGGTACAAGATGGCGGCGTTCTGAAGCGCTCACTTAGGGATTCTCATCACATTTCTCCTCAGAAGATGTGAGCTGCTCCTCTTCTTTGACACATTGCTCTACATCAGCTGTCGCCCCGACAGTCTCTGTGACTGGGTGTGACACACTGATTGATTTCATATTCTTTAGGTAATTTGCAAGTTGAACAGAAATTCTGCAAAGCCTTTAAAAAAGATCAGCACTTTACTCATGTTTATTTTAAACTTTAAAGCTTTGATTCACTGCCTCTGTGAATGAGCTCCCTAATCCACACATGTCAGCACTTATTCACACTGAAGTAAATGCTTTGGGGCCTAAAAGCTCATTTTCCAAGAGAATAATCCTTGGAGGACACTAAATACCTCTTTGCATTACATTTAAAAACACTGAATACTGAGGTATTCACAATGAAGTCCAACACTGTAAAACTGTTGTGTACCTTTTGCTGGTGGGATAGAAGCGTGAGCAGCTGAGTCCGTCCCAGGCGCAGTAGGGATCTCTGGCGAGGCAGCAGTCTGCGCAGGCCGAGCCGTAAGCGTGACAACGGTGCAGGGAGACCTGGGAGACCCCGAACTCCGAGCTGACGTACAGCTGTTGCTGCAAAAGTAAACAGTTCAAATGTCAGCCGCCCTGTTTGTCTTAATAAGTGGCCCGGCTGACAGGAAAATGAGGCAGAGCGCCGAAACAATTATGGCTTATTATTTCCTGGCCTTCGGGAGGCTTATTGTGCTCGGGAGATTTTCTGTTTTCGTGCAGAACATGGTAGCCACAGACACGGAATAATTTATTAAAGCAATAAAACTGCACTAAATGTGTCAGGAAACCAATGTTGATGGAAACTTACTTTCTTAGAGGAGATTCTCAAGTTGGTCACAGGAGCTTGGTTCTGAAAAATGGAAAATACAAGGAGCAAGTTGAGAACATTGAAACATTAGTTTAATTACATTTTGCATTAGCAAGAATCTGAGGAGAACATTCTTGTCCTCCCTCCTCCTTGTTAGCAGATAGGACACGCACCAAACTAAAAAGTCAATGAAGTCTTAGCTTAGCTTTGTTTCTGGATAGTGAGACTCATTGTCCATTTTTATTTACAGTCTGCTCGAACCTCAATAAATATCCTGTTATGTCTTATTCTTTCAGGAGAGTAAGAACAAATTGTTGTGATGATAGTGTCTGCAAAGACGAAAGGGATATTGACGTCTTCTAACTCTTGGCAGGAATGATTCTTAAAAGAATCCCTTTTTTATTGCGGAGAAAAGCCCATCAGACTTCTCTTGAATAAGAAATAGTCATAACAAAGACAGTCAGTTTCTCACCAGATGTCTTTAACCTCCTGACACAAACATATTCAGTAAATTCAGAGTAAATCTTATCAGATTTACTTTGCTTTTCTCCAGGTGCAGCGGAGAATTAGAAAGATCTCGGCCTTTTCATGTGATCGCAGGTTGAACAGAACTTTAGCGATTTGAGCAAAGATAAAACGACATGTGGCAGCTCAGGGCAGCTAACGGCCTCCTGCAGCATGTGGGTATGTTTCCCATCACTCTACGCTGCAGAACTGCAGAACATCCATCTCCCGAACATCCCCCTGCCCCTCGCCTGGCTGCCCCCAGGCCTTTGTGCTGTGGCCAAGTGTGCCCTCTGCCTCCACATCTTTGATTTTTGGCAAAGGAATAAAGGGATGAAAGTTAAAGAGCGAGAAAAAAGAAAGAAGGAGGGGAGAAAGAGAGACAGCCGACCTTAAACACTTCCAGCTCCTCCAGGATCAGATCTTCATGCAGGGACTGGTTGGTGGGCAGCACGATCACCTTCTGTATTGTACCTTTGTCTGGGGGCAGAATGGAGACATGGTCTGAGCTGTTAATACACACACACACACACACACACA